ATGGCCTGCTGTTAGTGTGTGTGTGTCTGTGTGTGTGTGTGTGTGTGTGTGTGAGGGTGGACAACATGGACAGGCTGCTAACTGGCTACAGCTGCTAAAGTAGAATCCTACGCTGACCACTTGTGGTATTTCAAACAACTGGTATTTTTACATAAATTGTTATGGTTGTATTGATTTAAATAAACAATAATGTGTTGGGTCCACCAGACCACTCAGTACCAAACACATCAACACCACACAAAGGTTAAGACAGGCAACTTGACAAAAAATGTATTGCTGAACTTTTACTGTTCACAAAACACTTGAAATATTGAATGAAACATCTAAAAATATGTTTGTTTCTAGTTCATAATATTTCAATACAGTATAAACTATTTTTCTTTCACATACAGTACTATGCAAGAGTCAGAGACCACCTTTCATTTATTATATTTCCTGTCAAAAAAGCCATTAAGCACAAGTTATCAACTTTTCAGGAGGTGTTTCTCAGGAGGTAAGATATAAGATAATGCACTTGTATAATGAAGGAGAAAGTCAAAGGAAAAAAGGAAATAAAATGGGGCTCCTAACAACCACCTGGAAGACCTGGTCGACACCAAAACTGCCCCCATCAGATAAACAGCACTTAAAGCTTTCATCTCTGAGAGAGAGGAGAAAATCAAGCTGCTTCAGATCTGAAAACATCCACAGGTGTTTCTGTCCATCCTTCCACTGTGAGACGACGACTCAGCGCTATGGATCTGAAAGGATGTGTAGCTGTCAAGAAGAACCTCACTGAGAAAAGGAGACGGACACATCAAACAAAGAAGCTGAACAATGGACTGACCACCCCAGAGTCCAGACCTCAACACCACTGAATGTGTTTGATTACTTCAGAAAATCATCAATCAGCTTCTAAGACTGAACTATGGAGGTGTGTCTGCAGATTCTTTGAGGAACTGAAAGTGAGTCTCCTGTAAAGAATGGAAGCTGGAATGAAGGTAAAGAGTGACACGATTAAATAAATGAAGGGTGGTTTCTGACTTTTGCACAGAACTGTAGATACTTAATTTTACTCATTTTAATTAAACACCTATTTATTTTTTAGTCCTGGGGGCCTGCGGCTAATTATAACAAGGCTAGGCTACAGTACTGAAAGGCCATCAGTATCAGTGAAGCCCATTCTCTCTCTCTCTCTCTCTCCACATGCACACACACTCACCGTAGGCTACGAGTACAATGACGGCGATGATGATGAACCAGAGAAGAAAGCCGGCAGTGAAGCGGAGCAGCAGGATGAAGATCAGACTGACCACCAGCGCTATGATCAGCCCTCTACACACACACACACACACACACACACACACACACAGTATTAAAAAACACTAAAAAGGAGTGAAAGTCAGAAGTTATGGTTACCAGCTGCAATAAAAAAGCATGTGGTTATATAGTTTCCTAGGCAACTATGAGAAATTTTGGGCTAAATATGGGGAATGTCGGCTTATTAAGGAGGAAACAAATTGAATGTGAATTTTCTAAACCAACGCAGTGCCTCATGAAGGCGGAGCTAAAAGTAGGAGGAGCTGGTGCGCTGGTCAACACTGTCTGACACACAGCAGGCCCGTCACTGGGACATGGATGTGACGTGGCTGAAAAGCCTCCCAAAAACGTCAGATTATGCATTTTGGTGATTTTCTAAGTGAGAATAAGTAACACATCCTCTGCAGAGACACACTTCCGCACATTTTAATTACTGTTCATTTGCTTAATTTTACATATCAGAGGAAAAAAACTACGTGGCCTGTGCAAAAGTTATGGCACATTGTTAGTCAGTATGTTAAACTCAACAAAACATGTTCAAACCTTGGCACACAACTCTAATGTGGCACATGTGCAAAGAAATAAACTTTACCTCTTACAAGAAAGAACTGTTAGCTAAGGATAGCGTTTCGCTAGCTAGCTTGTTTGGCTTGAGTTATTGATTGTGCACAGACTAGAGGAATTTGGGGGCTGGTTTTAGAGTAGCTTATCCTTGTTAGAATCGCATTTTGCCTCAATTCAGCACAAAAGGTTTTACAGGTCGTCCCCAGATGTGTATTTTCAAGATACATCTGGACCCTCGAGACTGTCTGTGTTATACTGAAGTAACAGTCCAGGATTTTTCAACCTAATCTCCATCTGCCACATATGCAGCATAGGGACAGTTATTTCACTGTAGTTAAAAGAAAAGAGAAAACCTTTTGACTCTGCCCACTGACTTCTCTGAGACGTCTGATGTCAAAACACATTTATTATAGACGTTAATGGGCAGATGCTTTGAGTTTTCTGTTCTTTTATTAAGCACACAAACATGTAGAAACTGCTGTCTGTGGTAACGGACTCTATGCTACCGAAGTGTCAGATTAGGTTGAAAAACACTGGAGTATAAAGGATTATTATTTCTCTCTCAGAGCTCATTGAAACGTGAAGAGACTGTGTTGAAATTGCAGATTCTAAGCTTTCAATCCATACAGCACTCATGTTTGTAAGTGGGGGAGACGAGTCTTATTTTTCCAATCAGAAATATGCCAGAGGGATGACTTTCATACTGTACATGCTCCATTACAGTTTCTAAATCCGCTGCTGCAGTTATTGAAAAAAAATTGTTTTGGAGGTATGAAAGTAATTTTTTCACAAGCTTTATTTTGTCATACTGTCCTGAGCTTTTGTATGAATTACTCAAAACTTGAATCGCTGAGTGTGTTTACATGCACACAATAACCTGGTCATAAACAGATTTCTGCAGTTATCTGATTATTCAAATGGTCATGTAAACAGCACACTCCGATAAAGAGGCTGGATTTGAGCTCAGTAATCAGATTTCTCAGTGTAAACTCTTACTCTGATTTCTTTCGGATTTCTCAGTCTGCACATGTGCGAAAACAGACCGCGGTCCCGGAAATGAGCATCAGTGTTCACTTTTGAAGCGACACTGAAACCAAATACATGCTTGACAAAATTAAAGATTTAGATATTCTTAATCTTTTAGATGATGTATGTCCATATTTTCATGTAAAGTGGCACGATTAAAAAAAAAAAAGCCACAGCATTAAGTTTGAGTTTTACATAATGCTTACGTCACGACTTCTTCTGTGAGTTTATTGGACGGTTTGCGAAGGAGAAATCTGATTACTGCCTGACTCATGTAGCCCTGGAGTTTCCACATCATCTGATTACTCAAGCGCATGTAAACACGTTAATCGGATTACTGACAAAATCTGATTTTCTGCAGTTATCAGATTATTAAGTGCACATAAACGCACTCAATGTTTTGTTGACTTCTAATTGACATGGTTTGCATGAGTCAGGGTCAGTGTGTCTAGCTAGCGCATGATGTTCTGTCATGGGTGAGAGGACGGAGACAGATGCAACAAGTTCACACAACAGCACTTTTCATTATTTTTAGTTCTACATAAGCACAATTATCTTTTTTATTGCTTATAATGAACAAAACAGGCAAATATATTATAAGACAATGAGAGTCTAATGACAAACGATTCCCAAAATAGCTTGTTTGTATTGTCTTATATGTATATGTGTGTGTGTGTGTGTGTGTGTGGTGTGTGGGGTGTGGTGTGTGTGTGTGTTTGGGCATACAGTGGATAAATCATCTAAAAGTAGACACTGTACTCTATTTGTCTACGCCAGTAGTGATGAAGACAGTTACTAACGGAGGGGTTCCCCTCAATATTTTGCAATGACAGCTCTTCAATCTGTGCTAAACATAGTCTTATTCAGTTGAAGTTGGTTCATCGAACTTACTGGACTGGTTAAACTTGCTAAACTTAACCCAGATTTGGATGATCTTTGGGATCGATGTTCTCAAGCGCCAGCTACCTTGTCTCATATGTTTTGGTTTTGCCCTGCTTTAAAATCCTTTTGGCAGTCTGTGTTTCGTTGCTTCTCCTTCATTCTCGATTCAAAAATTGAACCTTGTCCACTAGTCGCTCTGTTTGGTTTGGTTGAACGCTGGCTTAAAGATGTTGCCTCATTTCTTTACTTGGGCCCCTTTTTCTCCTTCTTCTCTGAGTTCAAGCAGTTTGACGTTCCCAGTATATCACAGTAATTAATTTAATGGTTATCCATCCATCCATCATCTAAACCGCTTATCCTTCTGGGTCGCGGTGAATATATATATATATTTTCCTGTTAATATATAGTTGTGCATATGTTTCTGTATATATATTATGTAGGTATACATGTGGGTATGTATACTTGTATGTGTATTTTCCATTTATTTACTCATTTGACACTTAATGTTGTCTGGTGGGGCGACACAGGTGACGGGGTGGAAGTGGGTGGACGTGGGTGAATTTGGGTGGTGGGGTGGCTGGTATGGGTTTAGTTGGTTTGGGGGATTTGGGATGGCTTATTTGGTTAATTCTCGGGAATAACCAACAAAATCTGTGCATGTATCTTGTCTCAGCTTTGCAAGCCTTTTCCTTCTTTCATACTCAATAAAAACAATGGTCAAAAAAAATATATATATATTTTGGAATGAGCCTCAGATATATTTAGGGATGAGGGCAGGACAGTCAGGCCAGTGATAAATATTCCTAAATAAATAAATAATAATATTATTGTACAAATACATAAGTCTACAATACTGTAAAACAATGCATATTTCTAGAATACTACGCTTATTAAGACAAATAGCAAAAGTTAATTAGTGAAATTTAATGTATTGCAACTGTACCTGATCCGTGTTGCAACTGTCCCCAAAGTTGGGGTCAGTCGCAACATATGACTTCGTCCATTCAAATAAATATTGTGAATGATATGTTATACGTAATCATCTTTAAATGGAATGCATAATTAGCGGACAGATGTAAGTTTGCTATATAAAAATGTTAGTGATCTAGTCCGAAGTCTCTGACTGATAAGTGAGAGAAGAGTCCCCAGTCTTCCCTAGAAGAGGAGGACGTTTAATACAATAACATAATATTTTGGCAAAATTATCTGCAAGTGGAATAACAGACTTTAACAGGATAAAATGAAATCAGTTAAATAATCTTAGAATATTGTTACAACAATCCTAAACTGAGAAATATTAGACATATTGATTAGATTTGTGTGTCTGATCTGTGTCATTGTCCTGTATGACTTTAAATTAATACTCATAATTTCTTCTATTACTGTTAAGATTTATCACCTGCCTGTAAAGCACTTTGAGCTGCTATCAGCATGAAAGGTTTAGATGTTTTCATTTGCCAAGATGTCATTTTTTTGCAGTGCACTGTTAGAAATAAAGGTTCTGTTCAGGTACATTTTTCGTTCATCAAGGTACAAACAATGTAAATGTTCCCTCAAAGGTACAACAGTGGGTTTAAGGTCTGATTGTGCACTTTAAATAAGTTTTTCCAGGTGAAAAGTTCGTATTTGTACCTTTTCATGACCGAATGTTTTAAAACAGAGCAATAAAATAAAAAGCCTGGAGACGAATTATGGTACAATTTTGTTCCCTGACTAAAGGTAATGAGATGTACCCTTGAGGGTCCCACCCCAGTGACAAGAGGGGTCCTACCCCAGTGACAATTTACTACCTTTATTTCTGAGAGTGTATGTAGATATTAATGAGTAAGAAAGATGGAATAATGCTTTCTTACATCACGATCCAGTACCAAGAGTTGGCGTAGTCCTCTACGATTTTCATACCCAACTGTTTGGCATCTAGTATACCTGTTATACCACTGAGAGAGAGAGAGAGAGAGAGAGAGAGAGAGAGAGAGAGAGAGAGAGAGAGAGAGAAATTAACAGACAATAGCTTAATTGACTGCCACAAAAACAATCTACTACACAAACTATGCTTTATTAAGCAATTATCAGATGGCATTATTGCAATCACTCAGAATAAAAAATGATGCTTTTAGTTTTAATGAACTTCAACAGATACTTGTTGTTGCTTACAGCACTTTAAATTCATATTAATTACTGTTCTTTGTTCTATCCAGCAGTTTCATGCGTTTTCATTAGTTCAGCGCGCTCTGATGATCTGAAACTCTGGTGGATTTGATCAGTTCTGGGTGCTGCCAGACTGACAGTATGAAGCAGACGGCATTCAAATGAGGGAAAAGCTGCTCTCCAGTAACCTCACTAATCACATAATTCAGCCTAGAGCATGGTGAGATGAAAAGCTACTAAAAAGAATGAAAGTAGTAGTAAATGTAGTCTTTTAAAAAATAAAAATATTGCCAAACGTTTGGGGACTTTTTAATACGTTTTAATAATTTAGAGAACTGTTTTTGTAACTGAGACGTCTCAGAGTGAAGAGCCTTTATAAAGTTTAAATGAACCTACACATCATTTAAAGGTTTAAGGTAAATTAGTGTAGAACTTTTACATTATGTGAAGGTTTTTTAAACCTTTGAAAGTTCCTCATAGTCACAAATTCACGGTTCTTTGGGAAACCAAAGCACTTCTTCTAGTGCAGGGGTCAGTAACATGTGGGTCTAGAGCTGCATGTGGCTCTTTTACTGAGTTTTACCCTGTTGTGGCTCCACAGCAGAATCAGATTTGTAGGTAAAAATAAAATAATCCTCCTTTACAGTAAAATAAAGCTCTGCTGATCGTTCAACACAGTTTAACAATAAATGGTCTTAAACTCTGGAGTTAATGTAGAACTGCTAATTCACCCTTTAACCCTGAAGATCAGTGCAGACTGATGGTCATCATAGCAGCACAGACAACAATCTCGCCTAGCTAGTAGCTAACGAAATGGCAAAGAGAGAGATTTAAGACGAAACATCGATAATTTGGAGACAAATTTACTTAAATTAGCATTTAAAATGACTCCAGTTGGTTTCCTTATACGTTTAATCTGCAACGAGAAACTGTCAAACACTAAAAAGTTGCGAGGCTGAAGTTTCTCATTCGCCAGCTTCTTGATAGAATTTTTCCATCCCACCTTAAATGGTGCAGCAGTTTTATTCTGGCATATCAGAACCATTTAAGGTGGAACAGGAACGTTTGAACAATAAGCTCGTGAATGAGAAGCGACTTCAGCCTCGTAAAAAGTCGAATGTTAAGAGACATTTTACAAGAAACTGTTCTACTTTTGTGGAAAAGTTTCCTGCCGGAGATGCGAAGGAAGCAGCTACAGCTGAGCTAAAGCTTAAACCAGAGCAAAGTACGTCTGTGTTTTCGTTTATATTATATTTTTAGCCTATACTGGTACATTATCACATACTGACACATATTTACAGCCAAGATGGTAAAATGGACATAAAACGTTGTGGCTCTCAAGGTGGTTTGATTTTTGCTGAAAGGACAAAATGGCTCTTCTTAAATGTGGGTTGCCGACCCCTGCTGTGGCATTGCTCAGCTTGTCCAGTCTATGTGAGCTGTAAGAACAGACAGTGGAGGCCTGCTGTGACTCACTTGGCTGCGTCTCTGAGCTCAGTCACGCTCCGTGCCGTGTCCAGTGCGTCTTTGAAGGCGGTTTTATTGGCCACCGTTAGTGTCCCGTTTCTGGTGATGAAGTCTGGGAAGCAGCGCTGCAGAACTGAGGATAAAAAAAGACAGCAGAAGTTAAAAGAATATATTTTCCAGAAACTTTCTAACTTCGCTAACAACAAGACGGTATTAAATGGAATAGAACACAATGGGATTCATTTCATTCAACTATTTTCCATTGCACTGTATTGAATTTCAGTCCAGTTCAGTCCGATCTAGTCCAGTCCATGGTCTATATATTTAAGTCTTTTGGTAACAACAAGAAGCTATTAAATGGAACAGAATGGACTGGAATCAATTCCATTCTATTCAATTCCATTCCATTCCACTGTATTCCATTCCAATGCAGTCCAGTCCAATCCAGCCCAATCCATGGTCTATATGTTTAGGTCTTTTGGTAACAGCAAGAAATTTTTAAATGTTATGGAATGGAATTTAATCTATTCCATCCCATTATATTCCTTTTCATTCCAGTCCAGTCCAGTCCAGCACCAGTTCAATTTAATACTTTATTGTTGTCACCAAAAGACTTAAATTCCATTCCATTTCACAAGTCTCATCAGCACATTCTGGCCTGAGTAAAACTGACCAGAGATGTAGCTCCCACATGGAGTAAAGACAGACTAAAACAAAGTTACAGTTCACGAGATTCAAGCCAAAAATATCCACCCAAGAGCAACTCTGATCAGAAACTGACCACTGATATAGGGCCAGAGCAGGTCGTGTATATGACATGCTCCTGCTTCATTGGAGTGGAAACCTGCAAGCATGCCGGCCCGTCGTGGATATCATTTGGTGACCCCTGGGTTAGAGGATGACTAATAATTTTGCATCAGCAGATGGGCAACACTCTCAGAGGGGTTTCTAATAAAGTGGCCAGGGAGAGTACACAGTGTAAAAGCCCCAGCAACACTGCTACACCTGATACACCACACTCATTACCATGTCAGTGTCACTGCTGAAAATGGACCACTACTCACATAATTTCAAAAGAGCTGCACTGGCTGCCTGTATCGTTCAGGATGGATTTTAAAGTTCTGCTCCTAGTTTTGAAGGCTCTAAATAACCTTAAACCACCACTTACATCACAGAGTGTCTGTCTGTTTATGTTCCAGCATGTGATCTTTGATCTGCAGATACTGACCTACTACAAACATCTTACAGAAAACAGGGAGAGGCCCGTTCAGTTATTCTGCTTCTAAACTGTGGAGCTCAGTTCTTTTTATTAGACAATCAAGCTCAGAGCTCACTTTTAGATGCCCACAGCATTTAAAACATATCTCTTCAACTTAATAGTTAATTAAAACTCTCTGTCTTGTGGTGCCTATCTTTTAATTTGATCTGGGTCATTTTTTTATATGAATCTAAATTAAAACTTATAATTTCTTGTATTACTGTTTTATCAGCTTTATCATTTGTCTGTAAAGCACTTTGAGCTGCCACCAGCATGAAAAGTGCTATATAAATAAAAATTATTATTATTATCATTATATCTGGTCTTTGGTGGTCCAGTGCTTGTCTCTTTCCAGTGATGGATGGGGTAGAGAGGGTGCTAATAAACTGTTCACAGTAGATGGGCTACAGTCTGTAATGTTAAGAGCATCTACTATATACACCAATCAGGCATAACATTATGACCTCCTTGTTTCTACCCTCATTGTCCATTTTATCAACTCCACTTACTATATAGGTGCACTTTGTAGTTCTACAGTTACAGACTGTAGTCCATCTGTTTCTCTGCATACTTTAGTTAGCCCCCTTTTACCCTGTTCTTCAGTGGTCAGGACCCCCATGGACCCTCACAGAGCAGGTACTATTTGGATTATGGATCATTCTCAGCACTGCAGTAACACTGACGTGGTGGTGGTCTGTGTGTGTTGAGCTGGTATGAGTGGATCAGACACAGCAGTGCTGCTGGAGTTTTTAAACACTGTGTCCACTCACTGTCCACTCTATTAGACGCTCCTACCTTGTCGGTCCACCTTGAAGATGTAAAGTCAGAGACGACAGCTCATCTGCTGCTGCACAGTTTGTGTTGGTCATCCTCTAGTCCTTCATCAGTGGTCACAGGACGCTGCCCACAGGACGCTGTTGGCTGGATATTTTTGGTTGGTGGACTATTCTCAGTCCAGCAGTGACACTGAGGTGTTTAAAAACTCCAGCAGCACTGCTGTGTCTGATCCACTCAGACCAGCGCAACACACACTAACACACCACCACGTCAGTGTTACTGCAGTGCTGAGAATGATCCACCACCCAAATAGTACCTGCTCTGTGAGGGTCCAAGGGGGCTAACAAAGTATGCAGAGAAACAGATGGACTACAGTCTGTAACTGTAGAACTACAAAGTGCACCTATATAGTAAGTGGAGCTGATAAATTGGACAATGAGTGTAGAAACAAGGAGGTGGTCATAATGTTATGCCTGATCTGACTATGTCAGGTGTTGGTACAGTGATGGCCAGTCAGTGTAGGTACAAAAAAAGGTGTTTCTAATAATCTGGCAAGTATATATATAGTACATTTCCTGCGTTAGAAATGCTCCTCCACGAAAGCTAGCAGGCGATCTTTCAGCAGCAGCTGTAATCATTAGATTAGAAATTCATGTACTCATTATAGCGGTACATGGGTAGCAAATCACGCACACTGTGATCTTATTAGAGGGAGATAAATGTTTATGATGCGAGGCAGGGAGCCACAGCAGTTATGAAGAGAGTGCAGTAGAAGCTGAGAGATGAGCCTCGATTGCATCAGACACAGAGCTCTGCCGTGTTTAACTTCAGCTTACTGATAGAGACAGACTATTTCATACAGCTAGGCAATATGATAAATCATAATACTGGGCAAAAATTAGGTGCATGGGAGAGCTGCAAAGTAAAAACAGCTGCAGGAACATAAAGGCTTATCTCACATTTGCCAAAAACAAAACTCGTTTCTCTCATGGGTATCTGCATGATCATAAAACGGACATATTTAGACCAAAATGCTGTACATATAAGAAGGAGTTAGCCCGTCAAAAGCATAAAAACAAGTAAAAAAAAACTCAAATTGGATCCTGTAATGGACAGAGAGTCAGTGAAGAGGGGCTGAAACAGGGATAATGTGGCCCTATATAAATTGAAAAGATGACAGACCCTAATGTAGAACCTTGGGGGACTCCATAGCCAATGGTGGCAAAAGATGAAAAACAACGGCCAGCATTCACTGAGAATGTCCTACAACACAGGTGAGACTTAAACCAGTCTAGAACTTTCCTGTGAAGCCCAACTATGTGCTCTAAAAAGAACATGTAAACAAAAAGACAGCCTGTAAACAACAAAAACCTGCATATAATAACTGTATAAACTAATGAATAGTAACTGTTTTTTCCTCCTGTTCCTTCTTAAGCCTTTACTGTATTTCCTTTTTTTTCCTCACTACAAAATAAAAGTTTTAAAAAAAGATTTTTTAACTTTTACCTTGGGAAAACGAAGGTTTTCTTGGTCATCATGGTAAACTTTGTATGTTTTTTTTTTTCAAATGTTGCTCTAACTTGTTCACAAACCTCAGATAAAACTATATATAATGATGTTGTCAGTGCAGTAGATTATTTACAGCACCATTTTTTAATGTTGTTAACTTGTTTTCTTAACTGTTGCTATGACACTGCAACCGTAGATACAGCTTTTAAATGGTCAGAAGTGTCACTAGTGGATCTCTTGAAAAAATTTATTTCCAGCTATGGCAATGCCATAAATTTGTTTAACAATTCAATTTGAAAGTAATCAAAAATATCATTTAAAATCAAACTGCAACTCTGATGGTGTGATATATATGATACATGCACTCATTCGTTGGAACATGCAGCCACTGTTGCTCTCACTGGACGTCAGTCATGAAAATTGGAAACTGCGTTCACTCTTTGTGGAAATCACGTGATTTTCATGTTCAGGTTCTGCGTTCACACAATGAAGATAATGTTACTGAATTACTGAAAGCACTAAATACATTCTGACAAATCTTATTTTGTCATCCCATGTTGCTATGACAAAATGCACAGCTTTTTAAATGTAAATTTGAGCAAATAAGACAAATATGATGAACTTAATTGTGATTATCTATAAATAATAATGCAATTAAACACGATTAAATATTTTAGTCATTTAACAGCCCTAGTTATGATGTATATGGTGTATCATAGAAAAGTATTGTGACGCTACATTCTTGACATATCGTCCAGTCTGAGCCAGAAGTGAATGTGCTGGGGTATTCAGTCTCCGGAGGCTTTAGTTTGTGTTTGACAGGCAGTAAGAATATACACATCATCCAGCAGAGCTAAAGTGCTCTTTTAGCTCAGGAGTAATAACTCAAAACCACAGTCTGATTCAAAACCACAGTCCATCAGAGTGCAGTGGACTGATGAATATTTAGAGGCGAGGTAAAGCCACACACACACACACACACACACACACACACAAACACACTGAGCAGTGTTATTTTAGAAGCTGCACTTACATGGTCTGCTGGGCACTATCATTGATGGACAGTCCTCGTCTCGCAGGACCTGCGCTACAGGCTGAGAGAGAGAGAGAGAGAGAGAGAGACAGAGAGAGAGAGACAGAGAAAGAGGCAGTGAGAACTCTTCAGTCCTATCCCAATCTTGACCTTTACCAGGACTATATATATTATATTTGGAGTGGGGAACCATGTCACAAAGGTTGTAGGGCTTAAAAAGATGCCTAAAATATTAGGCACAGCTCTAAAGTCAGTATGTATGTTTAAATAGTTGCACGAGGTCATCTGATCACCAATGAGTCAGCCAATTTACACAATCCTCAGTTTTAACCAGAATGTCACTGGGGTCACAGTCATTGGTGTTACACCACATTCAGATAAAACCAGTGACTGTGGAATTCAGCTCCCCTTTTTGTTATCAAATGATAACAGGAGATGTTAAAGATTATTTAGTTTTGGGATGAAAGAAATTGATTTTTTAAAAATGTATCCACCTGAATTCCCACTCCAAATGGAAAATGACCCACGGGTGGAAATATTATTCACAAATAAATCAAGAATGGGAGCGCTCTGTTACTACTATGCTTCCTATCACTGTATAAAAGATGAAAGAGGCTTCTTTTATTGTAGGATTGCTCATTCAGGGGAAATTTGGTGTGGTAATTGCCTATGACAAATAATTAAATTGTTTAAATGTAATAATAAAACAGGGCTCCTAAGTGGCGCAACCGTCTAAGCGTTGGTCCTGACATCAGGCGATCGCGGGTTTGATCCCTGGTGATGCTGCAGCCATCTGTGGCCAGGAGTCCAAGAGAGCACAATTAGCCTCGCTCTCTGGGTGGGTAGGATGGCCCCCCAGCACCCAGCACGATGCTAGTCAGCGCAGGCATCTGTTAGCTGACGTAACAGATCTGGCGGTTGGCGCTTTCCTCCGAGTGCGTTCGGCTGTCCAGTGACATTGCGAGAGCGGCAGTTCGAAAAGATGCGATGGCGCTTCACAGGTCTCGGAGGAAGCCTGTGCTGGCCTTCGCCCTCCTAGTGCTGGTGGTATCGTGTGATTAGGGGAGTCCTAACTTGGGGGTGGAATAGGAGACGACTAAATTGAGGAAAAAATTGGGGGAAAATGAACAAAAAAGCAACAAAACACGTATTAATTGCATTCTTATTCAATTTTTATTACAGTGTTTTGACATATGTGGCACACACATTTGCTGTGGCTGCTGATGGAAGAAGTGTTCAAATTTCCATCTCGCCAAAGACGCCAGCTCTCAGTGTTCAGTCTGTGATTTATGACTGTAGTCTGGACTGAGTGCCATTCAGTAAATGAAGCTGCTTGTCTAGCCAGAGAAGTAAGGCTCTTAAACTTTAGCTAACTTCATTACCACAGTGCGGCACATTACACTGTAATTTACAGTACTACTGCCACCATCAGGTGAAAGGAAGAACTGCAGCATACTGGATGGTGGGCCACATATAACATACTCTAAAACAGAAGCCATAGGCCAATTACAATCTGGCCCTAGGTCCGGACTTTGGACAGCCCTGCTGTAGAGGATGTGTTAACTTGTTTTCACTTAGAAAATCAACAAAATGTTCTTTGAACAGGGGTGCCCAAAATTTTGCATACAACTGATGCCTGAGATGTTGTTTTAAGATAGTTTTGAGAAAAGATTTTAGTCTAAAACATATTTTTAAAGTGCAGTAATGGTGGAGGGGTATATACAGGGTGTTGTAAGGCAAAACAGTCTCCAAAGACAACAACCACTATTTTACTATCACCAACACTAAACATGGTGACCCCTGGTTCCTATCACCACCACTGTAAAGAAATCGGTACGTTTCTCTACAATCTCACGTCAAACTACTCTGAATGACTGTTTTCATCTCAACAACTGAATTAGGCATTTTTTTTTTTTTAATTGGTGGAATTCCCCTTTAACCGTTACTGCAGGCATTGCTGAAACAGCACACGTCCTCTATGCAGTCTTCAGCTGTCAGGATTCAATACATCTCTGTCTTCCTCACACCAGAAAAAGGCATCATAACATCTTAAAAAAGCCAGTCTGTCACATACACCCCCCAAGTTTGAGCATATTTCTCTGTAAGTGGCCTAACGGTGGAAATATCCCTGAGAGAGCAGCGCTGAGAACCAAAGCTAAAAGCTAAAAACACCCAGAGGCGGTTCAGCAGCCAAAAAAGCAGCTCTAACATGTCAAAAGCGCAGATGGTGACAGTGGGATTCTTATTTCTATTATGCTGCCATGGCTCACACTTCTGGTTTGCGTCTCTGAGGTGCAGAAAAAAGAAGACTCAGCGACAGACTCCTCAAAACACATGCAGGCTTCCTGACTGAAAGCCTGGAGGAAATTCAGCCTACTGTACTTTCTTTAAACTTCCTAAACTCAAACTTTCAGAGGCCAGAGTCGGCTAAAAGAGATTGATTGTACAAGTTTTTGCAAAGTTGCACCGCTGCAGCGTCCTTTATTCGACAAACGAGAGAAGAAGACTGATAATTATTGACTGAGAAACACATTGATAAAAGCTGCTGGCTCTCAGGATTAAAGAGATCCTTTACTCTTTTAGAATCCTGACAGCTTCTACTGTAACAGTGATGAGTCGTTTAGGGTCGGGTGATATTCATTTTCCTGATAGGTACTTTTTCAGTGTCCCAGTAGACGGTATTTTTTCATCATATTTAAACACATAAATACATAAAAAATAAAAAAAAAGGAAAATATGAAGTCTACAGGTCTAATTTGAGTACTGCATTTTTTTACTGGGCCATGCAACTGTGGGGAACAGTTTCTTATAAAAAATAATGGCTTATTGCTTTTTATAAAAAAGATAAAATACACCAATATTTAACAAATGATTCACTGTAAAAGTAATAAAAATAATCAAAAACCTTTATGATTCCATAGCAAACTCTTAGCAGCACCTTAGCAACCACCTGGGATAATGCAGCAATGGCCGAGCGACACCTTAGCAACCACTTGGTATACCATAGCAATGGCCGAGCAACACCTTAGCAACCATCTGGGATAACGCAGTAATGGCCAAAAAACACCTTAGCAACCACCTGGGATAATGCAGCAATGGCCGAATAACACCTTAGCAACCACATGGTATACCATAGCAATGGCTGAGCAACACCTTAGCAACCACCTGGGATAATGCAGTAATGGCCAAGCAACTCTAGGTGATTCTAGCAGTATCTGAGCTCAGGACTGGCTTTCTCTCTAACCTATTGGTAACTAGCAAAGATACTTTCTCTGGATAGACAAAGCACTTTTTGTAAGTCGCTCTGGATAAGAGCGTCTGCTAAATGCTGTAAATGTAAATAAAAATGTAAAATGCAACACCTTAGCAACCACTTGGTATACCATAGCAATGGCTGAGCAACACCTTAGCAACCACCTGGGATAATGCAGCAATGGCAAAGCAACACCTTAGCAACCACTTGGCATATCATAGCAATGGCAAAGCAACACCTTAGCAACCACTGGGATCACGCAGTAATGGCCGAGCAACACCTTAGCAATCACCTGGGATAATGCAGCAATGGCCGAGCAACACCTTAGCAACCACCTGGGATAATGCAGCAATGGCCGCGCGACACCTTAGCAACCACTTGGTATTCCATAGCAATGGCCGAGCAACACCTTAGCAACCATCTGGGATAACGCAGTAATGGCCAAGCAACACCTTAGCAACCACTTGGCATACCATAGCAATGGCTTAGCAACACCTTAGCAACCACCTGGGATCACGCAGTAATGGCCGAGCAACACCTTAGCAACCACCTGGGATAATGCAGCAATGGCCGAGCGACACCTTAGCAACCACTTGGTATACCATAGCAATGGCCGAGCAACACCTTAGCAACCATCTGGGATAATGCAGCAATGGCAGAGCAACACCTTAGCAACCACCTGGGATAACGCAGCAATGGCAAAGCAACACCTTAGCAACCACTCGGGATAACGCAGTAATGGCCAAGCAACCACCTGGCATACCGTAGCAATAGCCTAGCAACACCTTAGCAACCACCTTGGATTTCACTGTTTTCTCAAGATCTCGAGTTATTTATGTCCTCATCTTGACATAACTGCATCCGCAGTGCTACTGACCAATACAGCTTGTCAAAGTCCACTGACATATGAAAGTGAAACTAAAATGGACGTTAAGTAAAAGCCACCAGCAGCTAAAGCCCCACAGAGACACACTGTTTCCTGAATGGAGGGCTCATACAGTTTGATTCTATGTTAAACATGTGTGTAATTAGCAGCACAGTGGCCAATCACTAAAATCAGCAAAATATCATTGCTGGTCAGTCTGTGGACATTGTAACAATAATATAGTCAAATCACCATATTGTCAAAACAGTGATTACCTTCTTGGGGTTGTTGAAGCCTGGTTTGCAGAACTGTTTGTAGTACTCCCAGTGGCTTTTGTTGAACCTGTACTGGAGCTGCATGTCCGTGTAGGTGGCGAAGCGGTCCGGACAGTTTGAAACACACATCTGCAGCAGGATGAAGGAACTGCTGAAGTTTTAAAGTGACTGGACACTTTATTAGAAACCCCACTCTTGAAGCTCCACCTTGCTGGTGTACACTTAGAGACTGTTGCTCATCTGCTGATGCACAGTTTTTTCATCTTTAAAAGACGGCGGTGGGACGGACGTCCAGCTCATGTGTCTCAGAACACGACATTTTCCTCTTGGCCTTCTTTAAGAAGGACATGTGAAGGACGCTTTTCCTGAGTCTGACATCATTTTAAAATAATTAAAAACACAAGCACTGCTCACTGCTGCTCATCTCACTCTGACTGGACTCACGTGATGCTTGTTGTTATGGTAACATCTACACTAAGCGGTTCTCTACAAATGCACGTCATTTTGGATCTGATTACCTGTAGTGAGCATGTAAACAGAGATTTTCCATCAGATTGTTGAGTAAAGTGAGCATAAACACCTCAGTCTTAATCTATAATCGGAATGTGTTCAATCGGATTGGCAAAAATCTTTGCATGTAAACACAGCCACTGGCCAGTTGTGGTCATGGCAAAATGTTAAACAAAAATAAAAATAAAACCCGACTGGCCCACGGATTTGTCAAGATTTTTTAATTTGGCCCTTTTAGTGGTTGAGTTTGACACCTAACCCTTTGTCAATGGTCAAGTCCTGACCACAGAGCCACTCTTGTCTGGATATTTTTGAGTGGTGGTCTTCGATCTAACAGTGACATGGTTTTGTGTGTGAAAACACTCGAACCAGCACCACACACACTACCACGCTGGTGCCACTGCTGCGCTGAAAATCATCCACCACCCTAATAATATCTGGAGAGCAGCAGCCCTCCGGTCAGAAACTGGCCATTGATGAAGAGCTAGATCAGGGGGGTCAAACTCAACCACTAAAAAGGCCAAATTAAAAAATCTCTACAAATTCGTGGGCCAGCTGGGTTTTAATTTTATTTTTACTAAACATTTTGCTGTGACCCCAACTGACCACGGTTTATTCAAAATACGCCAAAACTACAGCAGCAAAAATGGCACTGAATATTTGAATGATTCAAAATTCAGAGTAGAGGGAGCTGATAAACTGTGCAGCAACAGATGGACTACAGTTTGCTAATGTACTCCGAAGTAGTGGAGCTATGAGGTACAGGGTGGCGCAAAAAGCTGTAAGGAGACCAGCTTCATTTATTTGATTTCCAGTCAAAATGGCCATTGAGTACAATTATTCATTTTTCAGCATTCGGAAAAAAGCAGAATGTAAAAGTGATACAGAAGTCTGATCTCCAAAGTTCAGTCTTAGAAGCTGGTCGATCACTTTCTGAAGTGATCAAACACATTCAGTGGTGTTGAGGTCTGGACTCTGGGGTGGTCAGTCCATCGTTCAGCTTCTTTGTTTGATGTGTCCATCTCCTTTTCTCAGTGAGGTTCTGCTTGACAGCTACACATCCTTTCAGACCCACAGCGCTGAGTCGTCTTCTCACAGTGGAAGGATGGACAGAAACACCTGTGGATGTTTTCAGATCTGAAGCAGCTTGATTTTCTCCTCTCTCTCAAAGATGAAAGCTTTAAGTGCTGTTTATCTGATGGGGGCAGTTTTGGTGTCTGCCAGGTCTTCCAGGTGGTTGTCAGGAGGAACATTTTCTCTGTAGCTTTTAATCATTTTTCTAACTCCTCTCTTATGCATGTGGATTATTTTACATCTGATCTCCTCAGAAATATCTGAAAAATGAATAACTTGTACATAATGGCTGTTTTGACTGGAAGTGAAGTAAATGAAAAGGTGGTCTCTGACTTTGTAGGCGTTTCCGATAAAGTAGACAGTGGGCAGAAGCACAAAGTGGTGGACGGTGAGAGTTTACATAACAAAAAGTGTGCATTACCTGAGTAGTAGGACACTGGAGATTTATTAAAACTGCAGGGCTGGCGCATTTCAGTATGTTAAAGTAGAACAGTATGGTCTTCTTTCTGTGAAAACAAAACACCCTGAATCAGCAGATATGCACGGTACTCTTAAGGAAATGTCAAGACCTAAAATGGTCCAAAACGGGGTCCTTCAGTTCAGGTCCTGGAGGACATAACACTATGCACATACAGACCCCGGTGGTTTGGCCACTGTAGTATGACTGAGTCAGCTTAGAAGCTAAATAAGCCACTCATTAGCTGAATAAGCAGGTTTAGGAAAGGAATCATACTGGAGAGGGCAGTGCTGTGGTTATCCAGGAGTGGAACTGGACAAGCACAGACTAAACTGCAGGCCACTGAGGGGTCATTTTAAAATGAAAGCGATGGAAAAATAATCCCTGCTTATCTCAAATGTCTTGATCAGCCAAGACATGTTTGGTGTTCATAGTTTGCCTCTTAAGTTTTGCACTGGAGCTACAAGGCTAATGTAGCTAACAAGTAACCTACCCCACCAATTAGCACTGTGCTAACTGTGTGCCTCAAAGAGTGCATCACTCTATACTTACTTATGTGACACTGTATGACACGCTATTATCTATAAACATGGACAAAAGTGTGTAGATGAAAAGCTAAAAGCAGTAGTAGCAGCAGTCTTGAAGCCAGTACTTTGTCCGTTTGTCCATTTCCGTCGTGGCTGATCAAATACGTCTGAGGTTAGAGAAAACTGTGTTTGATTTGTAGCCAAACTATCGCTTTAAACCATTTCCCCCAAAACCTGTACAGCTAAAAATTTGGTGTATTTTGGCTAAAAACAACTGTGGCTCTAAAATTGACAGATAACACTAAAATCAGCCACACTTTAAGTCCCATGTGTCACAAGACCCGCAGGCCAATTCAGGCCTATTCGGTCCACAACATTATTTTTATTTGCTATTAATATTAGCCCATTTCACCATAAGTTGCACTACAGTTCCCAGCATGCACTGCAACGTAATGTGTGCTCCCACCCCCTTCCCAATAACAATGTATGGGACAGCACCCCAAAAAATAAATAAATAAAAAGGATACCAGTCTCACCATTAACTGCACTACAGTTCCCAGCATGCACTGCAACGTAATGTGTGCTCCCACCCCCTCCCCAACAACAATCTATGGGACAGCGCCACCAAAAAAAACAACAAAAGCAAAGATGCCAGGTGTCCATTTCATGCGAATGGGCACATTGGGGACATGTACAGGGGTTTAAGAGTGATCTGCAACTAATTTAGTCTATTGTTTTATATAAAAATATGTGATTTGTAAATCATAAAGTATTTTTTGCTGTCGTAGTTTTGGCGTATTTTGAATAAACAATGGCCGGTTTGGGTCGTGGCAAAATGTTAAGTAAAAATAAAATAAAAACTCAGCTGACCCACAGATTTGATGAGATTTTTTAATTTGGCCCTTGTAGTGGATGAGTTTGACCCCCTGCTTTAAGCAACACTATTACAGCATCTCTTTATTGAGGCTAATTTTAATGGGGAATTCCAGTGATTTTTCAAAATCCCTGTATATTTCAGTGGTTAAGATGTAAACAGGGTCATTCGGAGTGGTTTGGTGTGAAATGCTTGATTGTAGAGACTCAGATTTCTTTACAGTGGTGGTGATAGGAACCAGGGGTCGCCATGACTCCAACACAAATGAGTATGATAGGTATGATAGTGGTAAATCCTTCAAAATTGTGTTCCCTTTGGGGACTGTTTTGCCTCACAACATCCTGAATGTACCCCTCCATCATGTACGTATTTTAAAAAATTATGTTTTAGATTAAAATCTTATCTTAAAACTATCTTAAAACAATGTCTCAGGCATCAGGCAGTGTATTCATAACCATTAAGTGCGAGGGAGCTTTTAGAGGTGGACGTCTGGTTCCTATCACCACCACTGTGAACAGTTCTGACTCAGTAAGTTTCTCTAAAATAGAGCATTTCACACCAAACCACTCTGAATGACTTTGTTTATATCTTAACAATTAAAAAAAAATTGAGGAACTTCCTTTTAAGTGCACTGTATGCTGTTTGCCAGTAGGGGTAAGTAAAGTCAAGCAGAAAATAAGGGCTACTGAAACCAACAGTGTTTAAGAATCTTTTAAAATAATAGTCACATTGCTTGGGCACAATAATTATCATTTCCATAATACATTTTACACATTTCCACTTTTTCAACTGGTTACCACAGTAACACACAATCCTGTTGCATCTTCGTTATACTAAAACTTGAGCATTTACCATTCTATAGACAGAGGACTGAACTAAATGCATGTGTCAGTACGTGACCCCCCTAAGCGTAATCCTTTAAGCCTCAGAGAGTAACACATCCCCCAATTATGAAACGCATGGATCAGCAGTCTCCAATCCGCCGCAGAGTAAACAGCTCTCCCTCCATGGCCGTGCATAACAAACACTCTTATCGCCGCTCCCCAGCTCCGCTAATGAGCAACTTTTCATCCTCCCCAAGGTTACGTGCTGCCAATCACCTCCAGCTCTACAAAGAATGGCTCAGTACAAAAAAGGGCTTTATTGTGTGGGGGGTCCTTCAGAACTTCTTGTATTATTGTGGTGGTATAGGTGTGGTCAGCACCAACCAGATTACCCCCTTTAATTTGCAGGATTATTACATCCATAAAGTTTATTATGCAGGAACTGCATGGAAAATAATCAAACTGGGTTATTCTTAAAGAGGCATTCCGGCCTGCAAGCAGAGTTAAATATGTTTTTGTCATGTTATGTCTCACCTACTGACCCCTGCTGGTGACACCCGGTATAAATAAAAATAATGAGTGGCCACACCGTATTAACTCGTGGGAACAAGATACTCATGCGTGGCCACAACTTAGTGAGGCACGGGAATGAGATAATTAAGTCATGGACAGTTAGTAAGGTATGGGGATGAGATAATTATATCGTGGCCATGACTTAGTAAGGCATGGGAATGAGATAATTAAAATATGGGCATGAATAAATAAGGTGTGGGAATGAGATAATTTAGTTGTGGCAACGACTTAGTAAGGTGTGAAAATGAGATAATTAAGTCATGGGCATGACTTAGTAAGGCATGGGAACGACACAATTAAGTTGTGGGAACAAGATAATTAAGTCATGGCCACGGCTTAGTAAGGTGTGTATGAGAGATAATTAAGTCGTGGCCATGACTAAGTAGGGTGTAGGAACAAGATAATTAAGCTGTGGCCACAACTTAGTAAGGCATGGGAACGAGACAGTTAAGTCATCGGAACAAGATAATTAAGTCATGGCCATGACTTAGTAAGGTGTGTATGCGAGATAATTAAGTCGTGGCCGTGACTTAGTAGGGTGTAGGAACAAGAAAAGCTGTGGCCACAACTTAGTAAGGCATGGGATCAAGATAATTAAGTTGTGGCCACAACGTGATAATTATCTCATTCCCACGCCTTACTAAGCCATGGCACATTATTTTTATTCATACGGGACGTCATCAGGAGGGCTCTGGACTCATTGGCTTGACAGATTTCATGATTTTATATTGTTCCCATCCATCAATATACTCTCACTACAATACCCACAATACCTGTTGTGTCAACAAATGCTGACTGCTAGCCACTGAACTACAGGCTAACAACCAAGCTAGCCAAGCAAGCCAAACTGAACTAAATAGCCAGCTAACGTGCTAAGCTTAGCTTTTAGCTTGGTGTCCTCCTCATCTGACAAACCATTTCTGCCATTTGAGTTACTAATTTAAAAAAAAGAAAAACTACTTATGAAATAACAGGAGGAAAAAAATCAAATAGATGTAATAATGGGCCGCCATCCAATCAGCTACTGCTTGTTGTTGTTTACAGACTCTCAATAATTAGTCTAAATCAGTCTTTTATGATCCATGCAGTTGTTCAGTGTTCTAGAAGTGCTGATTATACCAGTCATACACTTAGAAAAGCATACAGTGTCACATCATTCACAACAATAACTGCCCCTCCCTACATGTCTGTGATTGGCTAAAGGAGTTACAGACACTCACGCGTTGGGTGTGCCTTTCTGTCCACAGAACTGGCCTGAGCTGTCAGTGGGATATATCACTTTTCTCGGGTCTCCGTGAATCCAGGCTGCAAACAGTCAAAACAGACACACAGCGCTGCATCAATGTAACAGTCAGTAAAAGTGGAGAAGCAGTGAAGATACCTTTATGAAAAAAATGACTCAAGTAAAGAAAAACAAAAAAAACAGCACAAGCAGAAGTTTTAAAGTGACTGAAATTACAGAGCACAAGTGAATGGTATAAATGATGAATCAGTAGAATTTTTTTGGATTTATTGAGATCTTTTTAACCACCTTTACATTTAGAAATAAATATTTCTGTAGAAATGCCAGTTTAGCAAACTTTTAACTGTAGTCTATGGACAGGTACAAAAAGATAAAAGCACTGACCAAGACACATAGCATTCCAAAAAACATGAAATAATATACAACATTTTTATATATATATATATATATATATATATATACACTGATCAGGCATAACACTCCATTGTACATTTTATCAGTTCCACTTACTGTATAGGTGCACTTTGTAGTTCTACAGTTACAGACTGTAGTCCATCTGTTTCTGGTATGAGTGGATCAGACACAGCAGTGCTGCTGGAGTTTTTAAACACCGTGTCCACTCACTGTCCACTCTATTAGACACCCCTACCTTGTCAGTCCACCTTGTAGATGTAAAGTCAGAGACGATAGCTCATCTGCTGCTGCACAGTTTGTGTTGGTCATCCTCTAGTCCTTCATCAGTGGTCACAGGACGCCGTTGGCTGGATATTTTTGGTTTGTTTAAAAACTCCAGCAGCACTGCTGTGTTTGATCCACTCAGACCAGCACAACATGCACTAATACACCACCACCACGTCAGTGTTACTGCAGTGCTGAGAATGATCCACCACCCAAATAGTACCTGCTCTGTGAGGGTCCATGGGGGTCCTGACCACTGAAGAACAGGGTAAAAGGGGGCTAACAAAGTATGCAGAGAAACAGATGGACTACAGTCTGTAACTGTAGAACTACAAAGTGCACCTATATAGTAAGTGGAGCTGATAAAATGGACAATGAGGGTAGAAACAAGGAGGTGATCATAATGTTAGGCCTGATTGGTATATATATTAGCTGAACAACAGGAGCCAAATGTAGTGCATTCTCTTATAAGTACAGGCAGATTATTTCTGCTGCTCTTACAGAAAAGCTATTAAAGTAATTATTTTTGCTGCTTTAGTGGTTTAACAATGTCTAATATAATAAATAGACAAATTAAACTTTGACATTTACTACCCTCTTGATTTGCTTTTCAAATGTACGACTGTAATCAATTTTAACACCAATATATTTCTCATTTTTCATATTTTTTGCCTTTCTTGTAAGCAGTCTTCTTTGCATCAATAAAAGCATGCACAAACTCCCACAGACACACTCCAAAATCATGTAGAAAGCTTCTCAGAACAGTGGAAGCTGTTACAGCCACAAAGGGGGACCAACTCCATATTAATGCCCATAGCTTTGGAACGGGATGTCTAACAAGCTTATACAGTGTCATGGTCAGGTGTCCACTTACTTTTGGCCATATAGTGTAGTTTAGCTCTTCAACAATATCCATCAATACGCTACCCAATTAGCTTATATCCTTCCAAAGCAATACTCCCCCAATGCATTATTAAAATGCATGAGAGGAAAAAGGGAGCGCTCCATAAGAATAACCAAACGAAGGATGAAAAGACGGCAGTACACAAGGAGGGAGATCAGTTTTCAGAGGTGTAAGACTGCAGCAAGAGCACACAGGGGTGATCAATGAGATTTCTTTTTTATCGTAGGATAATTACACCCATCCCGCTGAGTGGAGGAACTATTGATTTCCTTTCTACAGCCCCCCTCCCTTTATTAATGAAGTCACTACATATAAACAAGTGACAGCGCTTGTTGTCCATCAATTCTGCACCGCAGATCTCCACGCTGGTAAACAATCTGTCTGCATTCCTGTGATTTGTATGGACGGGACGTTTTCTCCCAGACCACTTTTGTGTTAGTAAATGATTCTGATACGTCTCAGCGGAGCACAGCAACCGCCAGGAGATTTACCCTCTACACCACTTAGTCACACCTCGGATAAAATTAAATAGAATAAACAAAAAGCTGCGCTTTGCTGTGTTCATATACATCCACCTCTTAACAATAAACACTTTTGTTACATCTGGAGTCTTTATACCGTACACAAATGCCTACAATTGAAAGGGGAATTTGCCTGAAGTTCCGATATGTCTGCATAATTGAATTGTTGACATGTAAACAAAGTCATTCAGAGTGGTTTGGTGTGAAATGATTTATTCTAGAGAAACTTATTTATTTTGATTTCTTCACAGTGGTGGTGATACGAATCAGAAGTCACACTGTGTGTAACACAAACCACCAGTGAACCTACACATGTCTTCTGAGTTTTTATATGCAATGATGATGGTGAAATAGTGGAAAATCAGAAAAAAATATTTATGTTTAAAATATTTTGTGGGGGGGGTGGCACGGTGGCGCAGTGGGTAGCGCTGTCGCCTCACAGCAAGAATGGCCTGGGTTCGATTCCCGGCCGGGCGACCAGGGTCATTTCTGTGTGGAGTTTGCATGTTCTCCCCGTGTCGGCGTGGGTTTCCTCCGGGTACTCCGGTTTCCTCCCACAGTCCAAAGACATGCCGTCAGGCCAATTGGACATGCTGAATTGCCCCTAGGTGTGAGTGAGTGCGTGAATGTGTATGTCTGTCTGTCTGCCCTGCGATGGACTGGCGACCTGTCCAGGGTGTATCCTGCCTTCCGCCCAATGACAGCTGGGATAGGCTCCAGCACCCCACCGCGACCCAGAAGGATAAGCGGTTTAGATGATGGATGGATGGATGGATATTTTGTGGGGGACTATTTTGCCTTAGAGCACCCTATATGTACCCCTCCATCATGAATGGATTTTAGGCCTAAGTCTTCTCAAAACTATTGTAAAGCAATGTGTGAGACATCAAGCAGTGCATTCATAAATATTTCATACAATTATTTCCCATCAGGGAGCTTTTAGAGGCATTAAACTCTTCAGACGTCTGGTTCCTATCACCACCACTGTGAATAATTCTAAACAATTCTGTAAGTTTCTCTACAAACGTTTTCACTCTGAATGACTTTGCTTCATGCAAAAATGTTGAAAAAACTGTGGAATTCACATTTAATACAGCACTAGTTTGACCAAAAACATAGTCGATCAGCAAAGACATGTTTCGTTTTGGTTGCACTGGAGCTACAAGGCTAATGTAGCTTCCAAGTAATGAAAGCTTATAGTCACCTGTTAGCATTGTACAAATTTAACACCTAAATCATCACACATTTGCCTATTTGAGGCATAATTCAGGCATGAACTATGCACATTTGATGTAAGGGGAAATTGTGTAAATTAGATTTTGGGTTGAAGTACCGCTTTAAAAGTCCTCTTTCCAATATAAAACAATAGAAAGTGAAAGAACTGAAAAACACCCTGCGGAGAATAAGCTATTAGAGTAATGTCACGGGCATGCAGCACTAGAATTAGTTCATACTCCACTGCCTCCCATTATAACAGTGCTAATCTTACTAAAATGTGCATTGTATGCAGATTAGCTGTAATGTTGGTGTTTATTCCAAGGCGCTGGCCGATAAATTCTCGGACCACTCGCTACGTTCTTTGTGTCCCACTCACAAAGGCAAAGCCTTCTGTCAGCGATAGCGTGGTGGGCACGAGACAGTGTGTCTGGGGGATGATGTCATCGGTGATTTCATCTTTTTGAGGGGATTAAAGTGATGTGTGTGCATGCACGTTTGTATGTGTGTGCAGGAGAGGGGCTTCTGGTGACATCATTCATAGCTGCCAGGGAGAGATATGGAAAAACTCCATCATCGTACCTCCATTACAGCCTCCACACGCGAGTAGTTATGCTACTGCTGTTGGGTAAGAATGAACTCATACTAAAAAATAAGCTTAGATCACTCTGTCGCAAATAGGAACATGATGGCATTCTCAAAATGGTGCACCATGGGGGACATGGGGGGGTGCAGGGATGTTCACAAGAGGCTTTATGGGAGGGCGAGATGAGTCTCAAGTCTTCAGCAGAGGATTTTAGTGTTTCATTATTAGCTGCAGGCACTGCAACGTACGTACGAAAGTAAATGCTACTAAAAATCTGTCAGATTCACGAATTCAAACAACACTTTCATTACAGAACAACCTTCAGTCTGAAGGACAGAACTAAAGCGTACATGCAGTAAATGCACAACAATATTGGCTATTATTCAGTTGCTTATTCTGTAGTTTGTACAGCAAATCCTTTGAGGTTTTCTTAAATTTTAAGGGAACGAAATCTGTAATTACCCTAGACTTCAATTATATCAGCTGACAACTTTTGCTAAATTAGCTACTGTGCTAGCTAGAATACATGCTATCCAAAGTAACCAACCATTTCAAGCTGTACTGCCTCTTTCCTTTTTTTGTTTTCCCTGATTTTCTCTCCAATTTAGTCGTCTCCAATTCTGCCCACCTAGTCAGGACTCCCCCACTCACATGATACTACCAACGCTAGGAGGCTGAAGGCTAACACAGTCTTCCTCCGAGACCTGTGAAGAGCCATCACAGCTTTTTGAACTGCCGCTCGCGCAACGTCATTGGACAGCTGAATGCACGAGGAAAGCCAACCGCTAGTTTTGTTACTTCAGCTAACAGACGCCTGCGCTGACTAGCATCGCATTGAGTGATGGGGTAGAAGGGAGCCACCCTCCCAGAGAGAGTGAGGCCATTTGTCTTCTCTTGGACTCTCGGCTACGGATGGCTGTAGCCTCACCAGGGATCGAGCTCACGATCTCCTGATGATAGGGACCAACGCTTAGATGGCTGCACCACTCAGGAACCCCCAGCCTCTTTCCTTTTAACATTTACTGCAAAACAACTTTGGTTCTTAGTCAAACGGTAGTCTACAGTTTGTACAGCAAGGAGCATACTTGCTATCCAAAGTAGACAGCCAATCATTCTGCGTCTATCCTTTAAACACCAAGCACTTTATTAGGAACACCC